TCCCCATTCTTGTGCCGTTGCTCCAGCTGTTCCCTCGGCAGGAAATATTCTCTCCACCTATTTTCCATCCTCACCAGCCAAATCCTGGCTATTCTTCAAGGCTCAGATTAAAGCCTCCCTTCCAGGACCGTCCTGGGGGGTCCCTGCAGCCACAGGGACGTCCTTCCTCATGGGAACCCCTGCGCCTCCTGGTTGGCCTTGTACACAATGTCCTTGGCATTCAGGGCATCTCACTGGAATGCACTTGGGTCTGGGGGTGGAGTCTCACTCAGGTTGCCTGGTGAGGAGGAAGGAGCTCAAGTGTTCATCCAGGATGGGGGTTCCCTTTTGGTAACTGTACCTCCATTCCCCCCACTCTCAGTCCTCATGCTTCCGGTGGGCAGCACCCCTGTCCCAGGGATGGAGCACGTGACCTCCACCGTGGTCAATCAGCAATCGTGTCCTGCGGCCTCAGGAGGGACTGAGGTGCTATCTTGTCCTGGGCCTTGAACCTGCACCTGTGCAGCCATCTCATCATCACAAGGGACAAGTCTGTAGGAGGAAATGGAGGCACAAGATGGAGAGGGAGAAACTGGGTCCTGGGATGTTGCTCCAGCCTCTGAATCGAGCTGTGCTTATAGCCACCCTATCTCTGGACCTTTCACTTCTGATGGACAGTAAATTCCCTTAAACCACCCTGGCTGGGGTTCTCAAAGAATCTGAACTGGTGTACAGGGTGAAGACAGAGGCACTCCAGGTGGCCGGCTTCTGGGCTAGGCAGCATCTTCCAGGAGGTCATGGTGTGACCTCTCTTTGCTCCAAGGTTGACAAATGGAAGATTGGCTGCTCTGTGCCCCTGGCCCGCACATTCGGTGTAGACTGCTGGCATCCCAAGGTCCAGAGGAGTAGAATGAGAACCATCTGGACTGTTGATTGAAGCCTTAGGCCCTGGGGTAGGGCTGGGCCCCTGCAATGTAGATGCTGAGCCAGGGCCCAGGCCAGAGAGTATTGAGGGATTCTCGGGGGTGGGATGAGGGAGAGGCATCAGGCTCCCACTGGAAGGTGCAGAAAGACCCCCAGATTCTGTGAGTCACTAAAATATGGGTGGGGGATGGGAGCATTCCCAGGCTTTTCCAAAGGCATCAGTCAGTGCAGGGAGGAGACCCAATCCCACCTTTCCCAGGGGGGCTTTGGGAATACTGCTGGAAACAGCTGGAGAAAGGATTGCCAGGGAGGAGCAGAGGGATTGGGAAGTGCCCGGATGCTGTGGGAAGAGGGCAGGACTGAATGCCCTAGGAGAGATGGAGGGGGTGAGAGTTGAAATATTCTTGAATGTTCTTGCATGATGGAACCTTAGGGAAATGTTCTTGGACTCTTGTCTGACATGGCTTGGGAGTGGGGCTGGGGAACGGAATGGGTAGGATTGAGGTGTGGAAATGGGGACTATTGTGAGAAACTCTATCTTCAGCTGGGCCTGGGAGGAAGCCCTGTGAGTGGGAATGCAGACGGCCACACAGGTCTGCCTTGGAGAGATGATTGGGTGCCCACCTGAGGATTTCACATCAGAGGCCACCAAGGGTGTGTGTTGAGGGCTGGGGGCCTTGATGAAGTTGGAGGGAGATCTGGAGCCTGAGGAGGGTCCAGAGCAGGTGTAGCTGGGAGAGGTCAGCATGAAGTCAGGGGTTTTGGGGCAGCTTAAGAAGCAGGGGCAGGAGGCTGAAGGAGCCCTCTTTGCCTCAGCTCCTCTGTACCCAGACGGCTGGGGCTCACTCTTGTCCCCTGGCCTTCTGCACACCAGCTGCCATAAAGCTAGGGAGAAATCTGCTTTGCATTATCAGAGGAGCTGCCTCCCCCAGGCATATGGTCAGCAGACCCCCTCCCCCGACCCAGAGCATCATGGGAAATGTCTTCTCCTGACCCCAGCTCTGGCCCAGCCCCTCCTTCCCCTGGAGCACTGGACCATGGGCTCAGGGGCCCCCACCAAGCCCCTCCCCATCGGATGTTCCCAGTCTTGCATTGTTCCAAGTTGCAGCTCATTGCACTGGATGAAAGAGGGGAGGGAGGCTCTAAGGGGACAGAAGGGGCTCTGGTGGGCCAGCAAAGATGAGGGGTCTCATCCTCTAGCTTAGAGAATCAAAGAAACAAAGAGAGGTTCCCCAGCCTGAGCAGAGAGGACAGAGGCCTGGTCGGGGGAGGGAAGGGAGAACTATAGGCCTCAGCCCACAGAGGCAGAAAAGGAAGAAGCACGGGAGCATTTGTTTGTCCTCTGAGCCCTTAGGGGGCTCAGAAAGAGTCTGCACTCTGGGAGGTACGAATGTCTGGAGCTGAGCAGCCCAGTGTGATGGCCACTAGCCACATGCTGCTACTGAGCACTTGTACTGGAGTTGGTTCAAACTGAGATGTGCTGCAAGGATGAAATACATGCTGAAATTTGAAAGCAGTAGGAAAAACAGTAACATTTCATTAATAATTTTAAAATATTGAATATATGTTGAAATAATACTTTAGCTCTATTGGGTTAAATAAAATACATTATTAAGTTCACCTTACCTGCTTCTTTTTACTTTTGTTGTGTGGTTACTAAAACATTGAAAACCACATGTGTAACTTACATTTTATTTTCACTGGACAGTGTGGTTTCAGAGCACATTCATTTATTTGTTCAACAGGTTTTTACAGGGTACCAGCTATATGCCAGGAAAGTACTGAGAATTAGAAGGTGAGCAAAACCAGATGCTGTCTCTGGATTCCTGGAGTTTACAGTAATCAAATACTCACTCAGATGGGTGCCTAATTGCAGAAAGATAAGTGGGTTAAAGAAAAAGGAGTGGAACATGATGTTTTCTGAACGTGAAACCAGGAACCCTGGTCTGTGTCCAGAGTACAGTGAAAGCTTCCTCAAGGAAGCACTGAACTGTGGGAGGGGGTTGCATATTACAGAAGGGACAGCATGTACAAAGTCCCTGTGGCTAGAGGGAATGTCAGTGAAACAAGCACTGTAAGATGGCTGGTCTGGGGAGCACAGGGAATGAGGAAGAGGATGGCTGGAGCAAGGCATCGAGTCTGGGGGAGTTGGCAGGGGTCTCATGTGGCCCTTGAGGCCACAGGAAAGATAAAGCTGAGAGGGCATTTTCACCCTTACAGGGCAATTAGAGAAGGAATTTGAGGTTGGGCGGAAGGAGGGCAACCAGGTTTCTTCACAGTGGGGCAGAAGGAGGGCGTGGGATTCGCTGGTATAATGTCTTTAAGGCTCTCTGGGCCCCACCCCAGGAGCACTGCACTGTGCCAGTCACCTCTGTACCCTTCTCCAATCCTGCTGCTCTGAGGAGTTTTGCAGAATGCCCTCTTTGCACCATCCCCACAGCCCCTCCTTTACTTCAGGCCACAGCTGACTCCCACCTCCTGGCCTACCCTGCACCCTCACCCTACACATTGCAGCCAGAATTAGTGTGTTCTAGAATGGAAGTCTGTCTATGGCACCCTCCCGCTTAAGACCCTTCAGTGGTTTCCCAGGGCTCTAAGAATGTAGCCCGATCCCTCAGCGTGTCTCTGTGAACCAGGCACCATCCACCCCTCTGATCTCTGCTAGCTCCCCGGGCTCCAGGCAAGGGAGCCTCCCCGGCCCCTGAGCTCTGCTCTGTCTCTTCAGGGTCTTTGCTGAGCTTGCTCCTCTGCCAAGAACGCTCTCCTCCCCCAGCCTGCTGACTCCACTCATCTGTAGGGCTCAGCTTCAGTGCTCTTTTTCTGACGATCCTTCCCTAATTCCTGGTGGAGTGAGCCTTGACTGGGATCCCCATTCACCCCAGCAAGGCACTGCACACCTCTCCACTGCCCCCCAACCCTAACTCACACTGTCAAGAACGTAAGGTCGCTGAAGGCAGGGATTTGTGCCCTTCTTTCCCACAAGTATCTGGTTCTCCCCAACAAATGAGAGGCATTTCCCCATCAGAATAGGGGCTCTCTTAGGACAGGAAGGTACTTCCCTCATCAGATTAGAGGTATCCTTAAGTGTGGGACTGTGTCTTTCCCATCAGATGGGAGCCTCCCTCAAGAGAGGCTGTCACCCCATCACAATGGGGGTTACCCAAGTACCAGGATCATTTCTCTTACCTACTCTGAGCCACCCCTCTCCCCTCCCAACCTTCATGTCTAGAGGTGGGAGACGGAAGGCAGCCTCCTTTCCACCTCGTGCCTAACTCTTGGCTGGAGTCCGGCTGGTCTCTCCCAGCATTTCAATATCAGGAAGTCTTGTTTGCTGTTCTTTCCGAGAAGAGCAAGCCTCCCGTGGCCTCCCCCAGCAACCACCACCAGCCCCACCAGAAGCCCTGGCCCAGTGACCAGAGAGGGGCACAGGCCTGGGGCTGGGAACCCGGCAGCTCCTTGGCCAGGCAAGGCTCAGAGCCAGGCTGGCAGGAGCTGGGGTTGGGACCTTCCCTGGAGGGCCAAGAGGGAGGGGACTGCCTAACTCCAGGCCAGCCAGCCCGTCTCCCGCAGGCTGTCTGGAGCCAGATCCCATGTGTGCGTGTGTGTGTGTGTGTGTGTGTTCCAGGCCATGTGGGTGGCTGGGAGCCACGGGGTTGTGACCTGGCCCTCCTGGCTCCCCTGTGGTCAGTTTCACTTCTGACATCTGGTCAAGTTCACAGCTGGCTGGCTTCCTGCATGGCTGTTTTCACTTTCTCTCTCCCAAGTCTGGGGGCAAAGGGCCCCCACTCCTTCCCTAACCCACTTAAATTAACTCCATGACTACACATATGAATTTGCTGGGTTTCTATTAAAACTTCCCCATTTCTGGGGTGGGGGGAAATAGGACAGGCATTCACCAAGTTGCAAATTATACCTGGGTCCCTGCCACACACAGCCCTTGTTGGCTCAAACCACACGTGTTTGCAGAAAAATCTCTACATTATTTTTCTCTTTGCTATTTAATGTTCATCATTTATGTTTTATGTGTAGGTCCCAAGAAATGATTACACAGGATGCGAGGGGGAAGTGACAGGGGATCTGGAACAACCACCACCAGCCCCACCAGAAGCCCTGGCCCAGTGACCAGAGAGGGGCACAGGCCTGGGGCTGGGAACCCGGCAGCTCCTTGGCCAGGCAAGGCTCAGAGCCAGGCTGGCAGGAGCTGGGGTTGGGACCTTCCCTGGAGGGCCAAGAGGGAGGGGACTGCCTAACTCCAGGCCAGCCAGCCCGTCTCCCGCAGGCTGTCTGGAGCCAGATCCCATGTGTGCGTGTGTGTGTGTGTGTGTGTGTTCCAGGCCATGTGGGTGGCTGGGAGCCACGGGGTTGTGACCTGGCCCTCCTGGCTCCCCTGTGGTCAGTTTCACTTCTGACATCTGGTCAAGTTCACAGCTGGCTGGCTTCCTGCATGGCTGTTTTCACTTTCTCTCTCCCAAGTCTGGGGGCAAAGGGCCCCCACTCCTTCCCTAACCCACTTAAATTAACTCCATGACTACACATATGAATTTGCTGGGTTTCTATTAAAACTTCCCCATTTCTGGGGTGGGGGGAAATAGGACAGGCATTCACCAAGTTGCAAATTATACCTGGGTCCCTGCCACACACAGCCCTTGTTGGCTCAAACCACACGTGTTTGCAGAAAAATCTCTACATTATTTTTCTCTTTGCTATTTAATGTTCATCATTTATGTTTTATGTGTAGGTCCCAAGAAATGATTACACAGGATGCGAGGGGGAAGTGACAGGGGATCTGGAGCTCATAGCCCAGAGGCTGGGGAGGCCAAAAGGGCTCCATCTCAGCCCAAAGGGAGGCAGGAGGGGCCCCAGAACAGAACACATGCTAAGACATACTTACAACCCTCCCAACCCCCTCCCCAACTGCTGGGGAAGAAAATAAATAGACTCAAATCCTGTCTGGCTCCCCAGGTGCACAGGTGAGCACAGCCAGAAGGTGAGTTTCCTCCTCCCATCACAGACTGAGGTCACAGAAATGCCATCTACATACAATGCTCCCCTCCCTTTTAGAGGGCTGGGAGAATCCGGGTAGGGGTGGGGGTGGCTGTCAGTGCACACCCAGCTCAGGGCTCATTCATGCTAAATAGAGGGGGTGCCACACTCATTCCAACAGCAAGCAAAACAGAACATGCCAGGAGGGACCTCATGGGACTTCATGGCCCCTTTCTGGCACCAAGCTAGAGAAAAAGCCAGTCCTTCGTAGAGCCTCTAAACTTGGGAGAGACCCTCTCCAGGCGACAGTCTAATTCAGTCCCTTTTTGCTTCATTCCCACACTTGTCCACGTTTCTTCACTGCAATCTGCGGGGCCCAGCCAAACCCGTACTCGCAGGGGAGGGGAGGCTGGGGGGAGCATTCCTCCACGTGCAGGCCCTTGGAAGACAGACGCCAGCTCGAGCCTCAGCCGTCCTTGGCCCGCCAAACCCGGGGGCGAGGGAAGAAAGCGGACAGAGTTCAAGTCCCTTCGATGCTTCTCTGGCAGCTACCTTGGGCAGGATCCGGGCCCAGCCGGAGAGGAAGAACTCGGGGAGAAAAGTAAGGTTTCTCATCCTGTGTGTGTCAGTGAGTCTGTTTGTTACCAGCTGGGGAGGGGAGAGGGTCTTAGTCCCGACTCTCAGGGCTGACTCTAGGAGGAGATACTCCTGTGTGGGGATGGAGGGCACCTACAGACTGGGCCACACCACAGATGCCACACTGATGTGCCTGAGGGGGACAGACAGAGGGAAGCAGTACCCCCTTCCACAAACCCCAAGCTGTGATCGATCAAATCCATCTTTGATTGTGATGGATCAACAGACCAGGCCTTGAGCGAAACATCCCATCTCCACAGAGGTTGGACAGGCTTGGAGATGATGGAGCAAAGACTGGATCTGGCTTTTGAGATACTTCCCAGAGACATTTCCCTGATTCCCCTCTCCCAGCCTTCAAGCAAACCTGAAGCCTGTACCCCTAAGTCAGAGATGGGGGGCCAGCCCATATCTGACTTCCCCATTGCAGGGTGACTTTGGGCAAGCCACTACCTCTCTCTGGGCCTCACTGTCCTGTGTACAAAGGAGGGGGGTAACCTAGACTTCAAAACCCCCTTCCAGCTCTGACAGCCTCTTACCCTCTTCATCCCAGGCCAGAGGGGCAGGGTAGGGGACTGAGGGAAGGTTTAGGCCCCAGGGATGCTCCTCATGCCCCAAGTTCACAGTGTAGAGTCCATGGCTCTGGTTCCTCTGAGTCTCTGGGACCTTGTCTTGACCCCCAACACCACTCCTGGTGTCTGCCACCCAGATAGGACACCTGCTAAGGTGAGGGGGCTGGCCTACTGGAAGTGTGGGGAGAAGGGAGTCGGCTGGAGACAGTGATGGGGCAGGAGGAGGGTGGGAGAGGCAGCAGGGCGCTCTGGCACCAGAGAGGGAGAGTGACGGGCAGCAGTGGAGCCCTACAGGAGCAGGGACAGGGCTGTGGTTCAGGGGCCTGGGCTCCACCACCCTGCCCAGAGGAGCTCAGCTCTGACGCTGGCCCATGGGATTAGCTGGAGCATCAGTCGCCGGAATGTGGGGGCAGGGCACGGGCTTCCAGGTCAGCTCACACTGGGGACGTGGCTGTGGACTCGCTGCACAGGCTCTCAACAATGTCAGCTCGCTGGATGCGGCGCAGGGCAGCCAGGAGGGCGTCGAGCGTTGCGCTGTCCTGGGCAGCCCAGCTGGCAAGCAGAGCATGGACCGGGCAGGCCTCATGGGTGAAGGAGTCTATGTGCTCAGGCTGGTATCCCAGCTCGCCTGCCAGGTGTCGCCAGGTGTCCCCCGCAGAGCCGTTGAGCAGCTTCTCCACCTCTTCCCGCTTGGCCAGCGACAGGCTGCTATAGAGGCCTCCGTCCCCCTTGAGGGCTGCCAAGAACCCAGGGGCAGTCAGATGCTACCTGCTGGACCCCACCTCCCCCACAGTGGGCATGATGGCCTGGGGTAAGACCCCAGAGAGGCCACAGCATTTCTCCTCCTAATTTGGGGAAGCCCTGAGGGCCAGAGGCAGAGGGCTGGCCAAGATGAGGTCCTGGACAGGGGGCAGGGCTGTGGAGTAGCTGTGGGTGGAGGGATGTGACTGCTGTTCCCTCCTCACCCCCGGCTCCAGCACCATTCCCACCACCTAACCCCTTCCCGGCCCCCCAGCAATTAATCAAGGCAGAGGACACAGGCCTTCTCAATCCCAGACTCAGCTGCAGCCTGTGTTCTGGAGCTGGGCTAGGGGCCACTAATTAGGGTACATAATCAACTACTTGTTCCCCAGAAGTCCAGGGCAGGAAGCTAATTGCAGCCACTTTGGGGAGTAATTAGCCCTAGGGGGGACAATTAGCTTGATGAGTCTGGATGCTCCCATTTGTCAACATTCCCATTTCCTAAGCCATTCCCCTGGAAAGGACCTCTCCTACCCATTCCCTCACCCTGCCCTCTCTCATCCCTCCACCGTGTGGGCCAGCTCCCTGCCAGTCCCTCCTGTAGTCTGATCTTCATCACTCCTTTCTCCCTGCCCTGGTCCCCTGCCCAGCCTTGCTGCTTACCCTGGCCTGTGGCCGTCTGCGTGTGGGGCTGCTGGTCATGCAGGCTCTGGCTGTCCACGGAGATGCCGCTGTCACTGTGGAGCTTTTCTCCCTCAGGTGGGGGCGTCTGGTTCGCAGGCCGGCTGTTGGCACCTTGCTTGTTCTGCTTACAGCTATTCCACCTGGAGCCAGAGGACAGGCCCAGTCTCAGGGGGTGAGGGGCTGCCCTGGCCAGGGGTCTGTGCTCTGCCGTGCAGGGGCCTGGCAGGTGGAATTATAACCCCCGCCACAGTACTAAGGTCCTTCTTGCTCTACATATCTGCCCCTGGCCTACACTGAAAGCACTGGGAAGGCAGAGGTGCCCTATGGCTTGCGGCACACTGCAAGCATACAATAAATGCACGTGGAATGAATGATGCATAAATAAATGACTTTTCAGGATTTCCACTTTTACCAACTTACCCTGCTAAAATACTCCCACCTGTGTGCAGGAAACTATACAAGGATTTCCTCGGCTATTATAAGAAATAAAAAAAACTGAAAACTAATCAAATGTCCATCAATGGGAGACTGGTAAAATAAATGATGACCCGCCCATATTATTGAGTGAGTGCTTACAAATGATCAGATAATCTATATGTCTTGAGGAGAGTGCTCCCAAGGGAGATTAAGTGAAAAAGTAAGTTATAGAATATGCATAACCTGATCCCACTGATGCTTAAAAACAATCTGCAGGTTTATGAATAAGTATCAAAGTTTTATGTACATGTGTTTATCAATGCACAGAAGATGGCTGGAAAGGGTCTACTCCAAACAGATTCCAATGAGGAGACAGGTAAGATTTGGGGAGATAAAAAGGGGCTTTTACTTTTACTTTACAAGACATTGGTCTTGTATGCATTTTTCCAAACAAGCATGTATTAATGTATGACTTTGATCATCTTTTTTTTTTTTTAACAGAATGGAAAATGCACTTAAACATTTAAAATGTTTTCTGGGAGTTCTTGCCCATCTTGGATTTCTGGATGTGGGTGCCACAGCATTCCAAGTATGACACGGTAAGGGAGACACACGTGCACACACGGGTAACTGTGTGGGTAAATGGGGTTTGAGGACAGAGACAGTGGGTAAAGGAAGCTCTGTGTGCAGTTGGGGTTAACATAACTGGGAGTTAGGGAGTGGAGGAGCATGGGAGTGGTACCTTCCCTACCTCCTGCTGAGCTGCCACCTCCCCCCACTTGCAGTGGGACAGCTGATGGTGAGTGAGGATGAGGTTGGTTTGGGGTTGAGTTAAAAATGTGTGCATTTCCAGGTTAAGGTCACAGCAAAGCCATCCTCGAGGGCAAAGATCCTGCTCTCTGTCCCCCATCTCCACTCTCACCTCTTGAAGGCGATGTAGGCCACGAGGCCCACAACCACAGCGGCCAGGATGGAGCAGTAGACAGGGATGAGGTTGTCAGCGGTGCCTCGGGTCACCACGGGCTGGGAGCTGCCCATCACTGTGGTCACCACATCTGCCACTGTGCTGACTATGAAGTCTTGCTCTGGAGGTACCTGGGGCTCCTGGGTGCTGGGGCCTGTGCTGTCCGAGCCCTCTGGGGGTGTGGATCGTGTAATCCAACGGCCAGGGATCTCTGGGAGAAAGGGCTACAGGAGTGAGAACCCACTCTCCACTCCCTCCCCTTATGTCTGACCCACTTGGGGGCCTCTTCCCCAGCCACTGCCCCATTCCAGATGCTCAGGCGGCCAGCTGTTACACACAGGGCTGAGGGCTGGGATTGTGTGTACGATGTCCCTAGGATGGAGAAGAGCAAGAGCCTGGGAGTCAGGAGACCTGTCACTGCCTTGCAGTGAGACTCTGGAACATTCCCTTGACCCTCAGGACCTTGATTTCCCCATCTATGGAATGAGGATATTAAGAGAGAGAATTTCTTAAGCTCCCTTCCATCTCAGGAGGAGCTGTGGTCGGAGGAATCTATTCTGCCTCCCCTGGGTGTCCAAAAGCCTGGCATGGAGGTAAACACACAAAGAAGAGAGTGTGGGCCCAGGAAGCCTCCAGGTGGAATCACTCTGGGGAGATGTTGTAACTTCTCTGGCCCCAGGTTGCCCCACTAGCCCCAATCACCACTGCCCTATGGAAGGATGAGGGTACTCAGGTTAGAGCAGAGATACCAGCCTCCACATCACCTCCCCAAAAGCTGGCTCTCAGCCTCCTTTTCTGTCTCTGAAGTCCTAGCTCTAGGTTTGGGCAGGGTGCAGGGTTCCCAGCTGGCTTGCTTCCCTCCAGTCAGTATGTGGACAATGCTAGCCTCTGTTTCCTGCCCTCAGTGGCCCCCAGGCCGTCTGATGTTGCCACCCAGAGAAGACAGTGCCAGGTAGCACAAAGCCTCCCTGGGCAGGAAGCAGACTGCTGGTGGAGAAAGGGCCTAAACAGCAGGTACTGTTCACTGCTCCAGGGGAGGGAGACTGTGCCTTGCCACCCAGAGAGGCCCTTTCATGCCAGCTGGGCATTACCTGCCTCCCTCACAGGGGACCTAGCATCAGGGGGATTTTCCATTCTGCCACCCAGCTGGGGGCAATACCAGGAGCTGTGAGCTCTGGATGGCCCCAGGGGTATCTGTCTGGGCAAAGTTGCCTACCCCATCCATCCTTGCTTCCCACGCCTGGGGCAGGGAGGGAGAGCAGGAAGTACATGCCAGTAGGGTGAAGGGCAGGGCACTTTGCTTCCCAGCTCTGCCCCACCCAGCCCCTAGTTTGCCCACCCAAGTTGGAGTCAAAGTTGCTCACTGGGTCTCCTAGGCCTCCTCAACTCAAGACAAAGATGCTTCAAAGCCCCCCATTTTCAGCACTTTCTGAGGGGTGAGGCCCCCAGATGTGAATCTGGAATCCATCTGGCTGGCACTGGGGAGGAGGCTGCCATCTGCTGCCCTGCCTCACCCTTCCCCATCTCAGTCCTGGGAGAGGTGGAGGAGGTAGGCAGGAAGTGGAGGGGACACAGCCCTGTCTTCTGCAGCCCCAGACAAGGTGTTGAACTGGAAGGGTCTTCTCTTGCCCTGCTAGGGGACTGGGTGAGCTGAGGGGCAGCCTGTGCCCTGAGGATGATACAGCTCGGCTTGGGCTGACCCCACCCCAGAGGCTGAAGGTGTGGAGTGGGTGTTGGTAGATCAGGCCGTCAGGGAGATCGGAGGGCAGTGGGGAAGGGCAGAGAGGGGGGTAAGAACAGACGAGGCTGAAGACAATGCCGTGCGGAATGCTCTCTCCTCATCTCAACAATCTCCTCTGATGAGAGGCGGGGGGATAAGATCCAGATGTGGCCATGTCCACTAGCATTTCAACCCGCTAAGCCTTTGGTGGGTCCTGACAGCTGTTTCCGGAATGGGAGCTGTCAGACTTGGGGGTGGAAACAGGGACCAGGTTACTCTTCCTAAACCCAAACTTCACTGGAGCAGTGGGGGCACCTTCTGCCCCGAGGGTGGGTGAATCACTGTGTCACACCTGAAATGTATCTGCAGGAAAGTACAATGCATGGGAAGGGAGGGGGGCAACCAAACCATGAATCAAACTCCATTTCCTGAAAAGTTCCCTCTGCCCCAGCTGACATTTAACCCTTCAGAGGCTACAGTGGAGAGGGTAAGAGGGTGGCTGGGTAAGTGGGGTGGTATCTGGGAGGAATCTGAGAATGCCTCAAAAGGCAGAGCCCACCCTCCCTGACCCACCACCTTTCTTTGCTCTAACCACACCCAGCTAAGTCCCCCAGCAGCTGGTCTGGACTTGCCCATGAACTGTGCTGCCTGCCTGCTGCCAGTTACTGAAACTCCCTTCCTGCTCTGCCCTGCACTTGACGCCACTTGCCTGTCTCCTGGCCCAGGGCAAGTGCCACTACCATGTTCTGTGTCCCACTCCTCTCCCCCCAACCCCCACCCCAGTGCAGGAGGTTTCACATACCTGGCCACAGCCCAGCTTAACAGCCCTCTCTGTCCTCAGCTCCCTGAGCCAGAGATCACAGGACCCAGAAGGAAGGCTTAGGGTGGGAGCCTGGGTCAGACTGAAGGCTCTGCACAGTGCGGAGTCTATCTCCCCCATCTGACTGGGGTCTGACCAAAGGCAGAAGTTGTAATGCCTCCACCAGAATGGGGGATCTCCTGGGAACAAAGTGCTGGGACCATGTGTCCTTCATCAGACTGGGGCAAAGGCTGTCTCTCTCCATCAAACTTGGGGCCTGCTCAGAAGGAGGGCACCCTGACAGTTACATGCCAAAGGAAAACAGCTAAGTGGGCACCAGGCCACAGGGTAAGGGACAGAAAATAAAGGCACTGTCAACTTCTCCCTGCAGTAGGAAAGCCCACCAATCTCCCCATAGATGGATGCCAGCAACCCGAGACCAAAACAGTTCAGCCTGGCTGCCACAGTGCGTCCTCTCCCCATCCCAGGGACTGCCCCATTTCCTGAGGCCCTGTGCCTGGCTAAGGTAGGCACACCAGCTCCTCTCCTCTCCAGGGGGCTGAGAGCCCTCCACGGGTACCCTGCCTCTCCTTGGGCTCCCAAGCCCAGGCCTGCCAGGCCCCTTCTTCCCCTCTCCCAGGGCCTCTGTCCCCTCAACCTCCGTAGTGCTCCCTGGGTTCAGTATCAACCTTGACTAAGCTGTATCCATGACAGTTGACCCTTCCCTCAGATATCACCAGTTGAATTGGGCCAGCTGCTTTCTCTAACCACAGCAACCTGGAAACCATGTGATCAATCAGGAACCTGAGGTCCAGAGACAGGAGAGACCTCCCTAACATCACTCAGATGGTAAGTGACAGGATGGGTTCCATCCTAGGTCCCAGAGCCATAAACCATGCCAGACCTAGACCAGGCCTCTGAGCCAAAGCGTCCCAACTCCTGAAGGTCCTTAAGCCCCTTCTCCACTTCAGAAAGCCTGTCTCAGGGATCACACATGTCCTGCTCTCTGATCCAGACACGGTGGCCACCTTCAAGTCTCTTATCTGCTGCCCATCTAGTCCCTAGCTGGAAGTTATGGATTAATACAGCCCCGTAAAATGCAAGCTGTGGCCAGGAGGAGGATGACGGCTTTCCAAACACTTAGCCCAAAGGAAATAGTGTAAGGGGCCCTTTGGTGAGAAGGATCAGGACCCATCTCCCCCGTTAGGATTCAGTTTCAGGGAGGGTGGCCGCCGGCCCAAGGCCGCCCAGGCCTGACCCTCTCGACCCCCAGGGGGCGCCCTTCCCGCGCCTCCAGCCCCGCCCGTGGCGCGCTCACCCTCGCACTCTGCGTCCGCCCAGCGGGTGCACTCGCGCAGCTGGCGCTCGGTGTCCTCGCACACCGTGCAGGGCAGGCACGGGTCCACGTGGTTGGCCTCGTCGGAGTACGTGCCGTCGGGACACTCCTCGCACACGGTGTTCTGCTTGTCCTGGCACGAGAACACGAGACCCGAGCCCACCTCGCACACACGGCAGGCCTCGCAACGGCCGGTGGTCTCGTCCTGGTAGTAGCCGTAGGCGCAGCGGCACACGGCATCATCCGCCTCCACGCATGGCGCCGACATGCTCTGCAGGCCCACGCACTCGGTGCACGGCTTACATGGCTCAGTGGCACTCACCACGTCAGAGAATGTCACACCTGTGGGAGATGGACAGGCGGGGAAGCCCAGTGCTCAGAATTTAGTCGCCTGCCCTTTGGACACTTGGGACACGGAAGCTGGAGGTCCTCCCTCTCCCATCGCCCGCCAGGGTACTGACCCCCTCGGTTCAGCCTCACTCAGTATTTGACTCCGAGCCTCCTCCCCCGGGTCCCTGATCCTGGGGCTGTGAGCACTCATGGCAGCCAGCTGGGAAGGAAGAAGTTGGGTGAGGCGCCCCATGCTCCAGACCCCGGAAACACTGGCTCGGAGTCTTCACGGGGTAACCCAGCTGGTGCCAGTAAATTTCTTGGCAAATTCTCTTAGAGAGTTCCCAGCCCTGTACCCTTGTTCCCAGCATAATTAAGGAATAATCTGAGCGTGGGTCCCACCCAGCCCTCCCCGAGGGCCGGAGCTGGGCTGTGCACCCAGCCCAGGCATGGCTGGCCGTTGCTAGGGAGCCTCCCACCTCAGCGAACCTTCCATTCCTCTGCTCACGGGTGGGGGCTCAGGTGTGGCCTGAATGGGAGTGACTAGGGTTAGACAGCAGAATTTCCCACTCATGGTGTTACCCCACACTGCTGAAGGGCTTGGCTTTTGAGGGTGGGGATGCGCCTCCTGGCAAGAAAGTTCAGGTACAGCAGGAGGTATTAAAGCTAGAAAGCAAGAAGGACTTGTATTTTTGTCCTGTGCCCTTTCAAATGGCGAAAAGGGGAGATTTTCAAGCTCATGTTGTTCTCTTAATGGATGTGAGCTCAGAATCAGGAGAAGGATGCCAGAGAGTGCCAGGATCCTCTCCTCCTGGTGTAAAGAGGAGGAAGGCACAGAGCCAGCTCTTCCCGGCTTCCCATCCAGGGTGGAGAACTCTGTCAGTCTCAATTCATGAGGATGTATCTTTGCTCCAAGGGCCGGAAGAGCACAGATTTAGGAACCTGAGACCAGGGGGAGGTGGAAGTAGAAGGAGAGATACTAGGGTCCTATTGAAGGGAAATGGAGGCCTGCTGTGGGGTCTGATCTCCATCTTCTCTAAAGTCATCAAGACACAAGATGGTGCACAGGGTCATTATCTTGGGGTTGGGGTTGTGGGGGGTGGGGGTGGAAATGGAGAAGCCAAAAAGGAAAACCCGGAGAAAAGTGAAAAGGGGCAGGAGTGGGGGGATGGAAGGAAATGACAGACTCAGTTCTGGCAGAGGGACCCATATTTCTCTTCCTAGGGATCAGGCAGAGCTATGTGGGCTCAAAATCTAGCTTCCATCATTTACTAGCTGTGTGGGGTGCTTTACTTAACCTCTCTGAGCTTTTTCTTTCTTTCTTTCTCTGTAAAATAGGGAATAATATCACCACTCAGTGTTGTGGTAAGGAATAAATGAAATTCCACCATAAAGCACTTGATGCACAGCAGGGATGCCATGAAGGTTGGGCCCCATGGGGTCGGCAACAATACATTCAGTGATCTTTGGTAGCAGGGATACAGCTAGACAGCAGAAAGGATTGCCAAGCATAAACAGCCAAGGCAGGCTGTCCAATTTATACAAACAGGAGGGTCTTATCTGGTTAGCATGTGGCAGGAGGGCGGGTCCAGTTACACTGAAAGAGAAGGGGAGGGCCCTGCCCATGGGAAAATACAGAAAATTAGCAGAAAACTCCTGGGAGAGGGTTTTAGTGGGTGGGGAAAATGTGGTCTTTTCTGGCAGAGAATGAAGGCAAAAGCTTAATGGGTTTCCTTGTGGGAATGTTTTGAGGATAGAGAGAAAGTCCGCTGGGGTCTCCATCCTATAAAGCGGGCTTGTAAAGGCAGTCTGTTAAAGCAGCTGAGGCAGGGAGGAGAACGTAAGGAAAGGGAGGGGGACGGTGGGAGAGAATGGGGGGTCCCTACCACCACTTACAAGCTGGTCTCTGCTCCTGTTTCCCCTCCCCTTCCTGGGAGGTGCTAGAACCTCCTTCTCCCAGGCTCTTCTACCCCACCCTGTACCTTCACAGCAGGCAGTGGGGTCCCATCCTGGGATACTTAGGGTCCAGGGAGGAGAGGCCCTGGGCTGCAGTCTAGGAAATGAGAGAGGCAGACTTGGGAGGTCCCAGGGTACTGATGGCTGAGCAATCCTGCCCTGGGATGGAAACCGTTAGGCCAGGGCAGGTGGCTGGATGGCAAGGAGGCAAGGGCAATACAGGATACCCAGCTTCTCCACCCAAGCCCAGGTATCTCTCTGCTGGTGGATGAAGTTACGGAATCCGTAAGCAGAAAGAGGAGCAGTGTGTTTGGGGACACCGAGGAGTTGGGTTTACCTGAAGCACAGATAGGCTCTGCATGTGTGGGGGTGGGGTGGGGAGGGGGTTGGTAACAAAAGGGTAGGTGGTTTCAGAGTTCTCAGTTCCTTGTACCCTCGAACTAAATAATCTGATTATGGTTCCCTCCAGCCCTCCAGATGGGCACTGAGTGCCAGGCAGAAGGCAGGCTCTAACTCTAGGCAGGTTGGAAAGGTCTCTGGGCAGAGTCAGGAAAGGGCACTGAGCCCAAGGCCTGCAGGCAGCCACTGAGGCTGGAGGCATACAGCAGAGATGAGACTCCAGACTCAAAAGCACACAGAATTCAGATCCAACATCTCCCCTCCCCCAAACTCCTTCTGCCTTCCTCAACCAACCACCCTGGAAGACAGAGTTCTCTCCTCTCCCCAAGGAAGTCCTAGGGTAGGAATGGTCACAACATCCCTCCCCCTCCTAGACCTGGTATCACCCCACAGTAAGGACATCCTTGTAGGACTCCAACCCCATCCCTGCTGGCTCCTGAAAGTTCCGCTTTCTTGGTCAGAGCCTCAGAACAGTTGGCCTGCGGGAGGGGTAGCCACACCCTCTCAGGATTCCCCCAAGGTCAGTCTCCAGGGCAGCCAGGATTTGATCCTCCTTCCCTCCCCCAAACACACCAAGGGTAAGTGGCAGCCATTGATTTTGCAGTGCAGATGGTATTTTTAGCTGGTGCTAACATTGGCGGCTCCTCCCAACCTGGCCCCACACTTCTACCAGGCCTCTTTGCTTGGGGGCTGGGAAGGGGCACCCCTTGGGATGCCCCATCAGGTCCCCCTCTTCCCTCTGTATACTTTCCTTATCCACTCTCAGCTTCCCCTCTCTGCCTCCTATACTGGGTCAGATCCACTTCTGGTGCCCATACAATGGTGGGCAGGAGACCCTGCCAAGAGGCAGAGCATTTGTAAGCCCTCTTCTGGGCATGCTTCTCCCCAGTGCCCCCTGCTTCCCTTCCTCTCCCCTCTTCCACCTGCCAGCCTGTACTCACTGTCAAGACAGGGCTCACACATGGTCTGGTTGGCTCCACAAGGCTGGGCCACCCCCTCGCCCAGATTGCAGGCTTTGCAGCACTCTCCACTGTGGGTGTACAGGCCCGAGGAGCAGGCCTCCTTGGCACCTCCGAGGGACACCTGCGTCGGGGAGATCAGAGGGTCAGACTAGCAAGAGAAAGAGGGGTTGCCTTCTGAGGGGTCAAACACCAGTCTCCTAAGGCCTTCCATTGGAACCACCTGGGCCAAGATGCGCTCACCAGGGAGGCATTAGGCGCATCAAGAAAGGCCGTGGGGGATAGTGCGCCCCTGCAGGCTACTGGGGGTGCGAGGTCAGAACCTGGGATGCTGATCTTCTGCAATGTTCATCTCGGGGTTACAGCAACTCCTGGAGTCCCAAGGATATACTACAAGGGGAAGGGGGCCCGAGGCCCATCAGGGGGCCCTCAGGCAGGAACACCACGAATGGCTGTACACGTTGCAGCTTGAACAGGGGTTCCAGCCAAGGGGGCAACTAGAAGCTGAAATCTAGCCCAAACACCACTTGCTAAGTCACACACCTGCAAGGCTGCATCTACTCAAAGAGAGTTCTCTCCTCTCACAAAGGCTAGCAGGGTCCTAATCCAGGTCCTTAATTCTACTATTCCACACATCAAATATCACACGAGAGGTGTCTGTACTCTAGAACACAAGGCAGAGGGGTGGGGTCTTGGGCTAAACTCTGGCTCTGCCTGCCCTGCTTTCTCTCTCTGAGTCTCTGTTTTTCTGTACAATTAGAAATGTCTACAGCCCAGGGTGAGAGCAAAAGACTAGCCAATTGGCAAGAGTCTGGAGCCAAGATGGGAGAAGGGGCGCCTGGTATCAATGATGAGAAAGTGGCTGCTCTCACCACCCAGCAGCCCTGCTCCCCCAGGATTTGATTTCCAGCCACCAGACTTCCCCTCTCCCTGCCCCCCATGCAGCCACTGGGAACAGCGTTGGAACCAGGGGAAAGGGGAGTCAGATTCCTGCGGTGGAGGCATCTCTGCTCAGGGATGGAATGATTTAGCACCGGATTCCCTAGAGGGAGGGGCTGCTGGCAGCTTGCTTTGTATTTCTGTTTAAAAAAAAAAAAATCATGTCTAATAAAATTCCAAAGCCTATTTCCCTGGCCCCAGACCATGCAGCTCCCATTTGATGCTGAGAGGAAGTATGGGCTCTTGGATCGTGAGGCCAGAAGAGAGTGTGGAAGGTCATTTTGGGCATTCCTCTGTTTTCTTCCTGGCCACCATCTGGCCAAGAACACTCCCTTTCCTCTGGTCCTTTAAAAATATACTGCAATCTCAGCAGGGTTTGGTGGAGGCAGGAGTGGATGGATTGGATCAGTCTAGGTAGCAGCCTGTGGTCCTCAAGAGACCAGCAGGAGGTGAGGAAGGCAGCTGTAGGAGGGGAACTTTGGGTGTTATCATCTCCCAGGTGGCAAGAACACACTGCTGGGAACATCTGCAGACCAGAAGCCTTGCGGCTGGGGGGGAATGGAGGGCAGTCCCAGATGCAGGCTTTTCCCCAGGAGATGAGCAAGATTCCAGAAGGATCTGTTCAGGTTTCTTTTCATGCTTTAGGGCTCTGCTTGAATGTCACTTCCCCATGGGAGCTGTCCGGTGGCCCCACCCCTCCCAGATCAACCCGAGCTGCCGAGCTGCCGAGCTGCCGTGTCTTGTGTTCTCCCTGTTCACCGTGCTGTTCTGGTCTGACATGTGACAGAGTCCGCCACTGGACTCTCAGCTACTGAGGGCAGGATGTGGTTGCTCCAGTGCCTGACACAGTAGCTAGCACCTAGTAGGGACCCAACATGTATATTTATGGAATTCACAAACATGACAATATGATACGGCCTTAATTAACTATAACTCTGGGGGGAATGACTTTCTGGATGGCTGACTTTCCTAAAAGTCAAGGATTTGCTGTTCTAATCACCTAATGTTTTTCATTTTAACTATGGTGGCTGCACCCTTCTCTGACTCTGGAACATACCTTCACAGTTTCCCCAAGACTCAGGGACTCAAAATTTACACCAGTGATAATTCTGGGCTGCAATGCAGTAAAGCTCTTGTATTCCTTATCCCAAATTACCTCACTTCTGTCTCTGCATTCTCCTGTCAGTTTCTTTATGAAAATAGGTTTTCTTTCTCCTCCCTTCCTGTCAGGATATCAGTTGTCAATTTTTGCTGCTACCAGATTGTGACCTGAGCATCTCCTTCTGACTGTTCCAATTTATTAGATCTAACTGAATTTTGAGGAACTATGTAACTGGCCTTGGTAGGAAAGGTGTATAAAGTGAGTATAAATAGGACCTGAACCAGGAGGGGGCAATTCGCTGAGTAAAAAGTGTGAGCTCTACTGCCTTCCTCCTCTGCTGCCCCCATCACTCTGAATCCTGGCTCAGCACTTAGAGCTGGGTGAGCTGGGACAGGTTTTGAATTCCTCTGTGCCTCCATTTCTTTATCTTTAGGGATGCATGATGTTACCTGCCTCGTAGAGTTGCTGTAGGTATTAAATGGATGAGGAAGGTGTTTATGCACTTTGAGACCCCTGTTATCTCTTTTCCAAGGTCTTATTTCTTTTGTGACTTTTGGCTATGTTCCAGTTAGTTGAGGTCAGTAGAGACCTGGGCCCCTGCTAGCTGAGGGGTGTCTGTCTATGGTGGCCGTGTCTGCCGTGGCAGCCTTGTGTCAGCCCCTCTTCCTTAAAACCTGCTCTCCCTGCCGCAGCCTGTGGCTCTCTCTCTTCTCCTGGTCTTGCATTTGGAGTCATGAGTTTCCTGCGCTTGTTTTGTTTCCTGTTTTACCCAGATCTGCTACTTAATGGTATACAATTTTGGGTAAATTCCCAATCTCTCGAAGCCTCAGTGTTCTCACCTAAAATATTGGGTTGGCAATGTCTATTGCTCAGGGTTGCTGTGAAACTTAAATAATTTATGCAAGTCTGGTGTATAGTATGAGTTCAGTAAATGTTACTTATCAAGTAAGTGTCTTGTCTTAGGGAGAGCTGTGAGCCTGGGCAGGAGATGTTGGGGTGGGGAGAGGTTAGCTAAAGCCAAAGAGAGGAAATCACTGAAGAGCTGGGGACAGGATAAATATGAAGAAAGACTTACCCATCAGAAAGAGTCTAAAGAAGGTGTGGGGACCAAAGAAGATAGGAATTGCTCTCCTTAACTAATTCAACAACCATTTACTGAGCATTAAACTAAGAGTTTCCAATGAGACATGGTCCCTTACCCCTGGGGAAAGAGTCACAGTCCTATGAGGGAGAGCTACCCTGGAAGCCAAAATGCTGAGGGGGAAGCCTTGGGAGATTGCCCTCTTCCCCTCTGACAGGTGGGGAAAGTGAAGCCCACAGAGGCGATTCTGTTAAGTGGCCTGATGCATGGCCCCTGCCACATCCTCTATTGGTCCAAAGTGGGGCAATCTGGGAAGCAGAGAGGGATGACTAGGATTCAGGCATAGTGCTCCAAAATGATCAACTTACCAAAATGATAGACACATTTGCCTGAAATTTCCATTTATTACACTTACTCATTTCCAATTTGATGGAATAATTTCATCCCATTTTCAAGAATGTTTGCAATCTTTTTGCCATGTCAAGGCTTTCAAGAACTAAGGTGGAATATATACCCTAAGATGAACTGACTTTTGAGAATATTAACTTTTTAAAAACTTTGGACAAAATAGAAACCACACCAAAATAGTTGAAAGAATTTGTATGAATGCTTCAGTGTGATGAGTCCTAACCACAACAGCTTCAGCAAAGGGTTCCTTAGGTAAATGTAGCAATTAGCCACTGCCACGGGGTTGGGGAATTTTCAAATATGCGGAGGGTCTTTTTGGGGTGGATGCCAGTCCAGGGCAGCACTGGCACATACCTCCCCATCCGTTTAGACAGGGGTTGAGTTTGGAGTAGGAGGCAGGGGCTAATCACTGTGGATGATGCTGCCGGATCCGAGGGAAGGGCCGCGGCGGGTTTTGGAAGGAGGGGCTAGGTACCAAATTTGTGGGCATAGAAGACGGATCTAGTTTCTAATTTTCAGGGCTAGTGTTGGTTCAGGGCCCCGTGTCCCTACAGGATCTAGAAGGCTGGGGTGTTGGGGAGGGGGCGCATACATCCGAGAGAATAAGCTCCAAGACAAGCATCCTGGGTTCCAACAAGGGGATTTTAGTTACTAACTGGGGGGTTTTGTGCCTAAAGGTCTGAGAGGTTCGGCTTCCTCACCTGTAAAATGGGAATAACTAGATTTACTCTGCTGGGAATTTGTAGGATTAAATAACACAAGAGAAATTACCCAGGACAGTTCGTGGCACAAAGTAAGCACTCAACCAATTTTATTATTCTCGCCTTTCCACCTCGCACCCCTAGAGAAGAATCTAGGCGCGTGAACGGGACAGAGCCGTACAGTCGGGTGGGGACCCCTTCCCTTTCGGAGCCGCCTGCCCAGCCTGGCCGCTTGCCTCCTCCCATTTGCGGCCCTTGCTGCGTCCCTATTAGGCGCATTAGCCAGCCCCGTGGCTCCGGTTACAGACGTCTGAATGACAAAGTGCCTCCATTACCGGCGCGGCCCGCCGGCCGACCCGCCGGGACGCGCTCTGGTTTCAGCACTCTCTCGCCGCGGCCCAGGAAGCAGCGCGGACCGCCGCGGTGCGCAGAGCCAGCCCAGAGACAGCAGCTCCGCCGCGAGCCGCCGGGGCTGCCGGCGGCCGATTCTGGGCGGGCGCCACCTTCCGCAGCCCCCTGCCCTCCACCCCCTGCCCCCCTCCTTCCTCGCCTCTTGCATACTCGCGGAACACGCTAGCCCCGGCCGGGATCCCACCCACGCCCTCGCCCCTCCGGGATCCTCACTGCCGGCCGCCGAATCCCACCCCTGCGCCCCACCCCTCCGGGGCCGGGAAGCGTCTGTGACCCGCGGCGTTAGTCAGCAAGCGTGCCCGCAGTCACTTCCAAACCCCCGCACGAAGCCACCGGCACTAACAGTACCAGAGAACCGACGCTGAACTTCGCACACGGGGCCGGCGCACAGAGAGGGTCTCTGCCCACCTTAGCCTTCATTTTCCTCCGCCAGCCAGACTCTACGGCTGGTGTCAAGCCCGCCGCCCGCAGAGAAACGCAGCTCGTGTCCTGGGCTGGGACGCCGGGCTGCCCCATTAGGAGATGCGGGATACCGAGCTGAGAATCAGGTGAGGGGCAGCCTAGCTCGGACACTGGCTCAACTTGTTTGTGGGATCTCGGCCAAGTCGTTAAAACTCTCAGAGCCTCAGTCTCCTTATCTGTAAAATGGGGACTTGGAGCGCGGTGCTCAGATGAGAGATGAAGATGGCAGGAAAATGGAGCCCACCTCCTCCATTGCCAAGCCTTCTAGGGCACTCCGTTCGTGGCCGCACTACAGTTCACATCTCCTGAACATCCTATCAGAACTACCGGAGCGGGGGTGTCTGGGGGAAGGGGACTTGGATGCTTATGAAGACCCGTTGTCTTTTAGCTAGACAGAATCCGAAGCGTCCGAGCGCCTCCGTCTCGTTAGGTGCCCAGGTCCTCCACCGAAAGCTGGGCGGGGTGTAGGCACAGTCCTTACCCACCTGGACGCTGGAGCCCAGCGAACGCGCGCGCAGCGCTCGGGACGTTTAACTTACCAGGGCGCCTGAGTAAGGGTGGGGGGCACACAGCCCAGGTTTCGCCCGCAGCTGCAGAAGCCACAGCCCTCGCGTCGCAGCGCCCCCTGCGGGGCCGCCTCTGCCTGAGCGACCCGGGGCTGAGCGCAGCCGGGACATCCCCCGCCTTGCGCGTCCCGGCGCTCTGCACCCCGAGATGTGGCAGCGGCCAGACCCGGTCCGACGACGCCCGCTCCGTCCCTTCCGGTTCACGACGCTGCTTCAACTCTTGAGAATAAGCGTGTCGGAGGAACGCGCAGGTCCTGAGGAACCGAGGAGCGAGCGCGTCCACCCAGGCAAAGTGGGCTCTCCCTTTCCAGCCTCTCATACCCAGCCGCAATTTCCCGGCCCGGCTAGGCCGCGGAAAGAGCGCGCGGCAGGCGCGGGAAACGTCGGTGCTTCTGCTCTCTTCTGGACCCACTGTCCCTCGGCGAGCAGACGGCGCCCAGCAGCTTTGGGATCCTCTCCCTTCTCTCTCCTCTTTCCTTATGCTTCCATCTCTTTACTTCCCTCACCCTTTTCTGCCCTTCCTAAGCTCATTTTCTCTCTTCAACCGACCCCCGCGCCCCGAACCTCTCCCTCCCACTCCCCTCCCCCCGCCATTGTCTGGCCGGTTCTCATTGTCCGATACCGGGTCCCCTTTGCCTGCAGTCCCTCCACTCTCTTCCCCATTGTTCCATCCGTCTCCAGTTCCCCGCCCCAGCCGCGCTCGTGCCTCATCTCTAGTCCCCGTCCCATTCCTCCTGCTTCTGTAAAGCTCGAGTTTCGTCCCACGACCCTCCAGAGATCAAGATGCTCAGGCAGAATCCGAGATTCCTCGAGATCCCGGCATTCAAGCGTCCTCTTCCGAAGAACCCAGGCATCCGAGAGCCCCAGGACCCCTTCTTAACAGACCCCTCCCAGCTCCTTCACACACACCCCGCGGTACCCAAGGATCCGCGTCTGTGCGCCCCTCTTGAGCGTATCTTTATCCTGGACCTCAGGGTCGCCTCTGTCCTCTGAGAACCCTAGACGCTCCTCCGTGGATCCAGGAATGAAGCTCCTCTCCCTCCCTCCACCTCCCAGTATCTGGGACCCCAACGCTCAGTTCTCTTTTCCCTGGAGGAAACCTGAGTCCACGGGGGTTCCGGTCCCAGGAAAGGGAGCGGGCTGCGCCCCCGCTAGCACTCACCCCCAGGACCAACAGCAGCAGCAGCAGCAGCGGGCGCGGCCCGTCCACGACGCCGGCGGCGGCACCTGCCCCCATCGTCCGCCTCCGGTGGCAGCGCCCGGCTTGCAGTTGTCGGCTCCGCGGACCGGTAGGTCTGCGCTGCGCTTCAGCGCCCGCCCCTCGGAGCTGGCCGAGGCTCCGCTCTCTCTGGCTGAGGGCAGGAGGGGCTGGGAGAAGCCAGTGCGGCGGCCCCGCCTCCTCCCCGCCCAGCCCGCCCACCCCCGGAACCGCGCCCGCCCGCTCCACCGCCTCCTCTAAGGGAGAGGAGGCGAAGGGAGGGCGTGCGGGGAGCCGCGCCCGCGCGCCCCGCTGCTGCTTCTCGGTGCCCGGGCACTTGGAACCTCTCCCCTCCTCTTCCCCGGTCCCCAGTGCCCAGCCCGCGCTACTGAGCGTCCGTCCCGGATGCTGTAGGCTGGGGGAGCAGGGCATCCCCAGTGCGGTCCTCTGGTTGCGGCCCCCCGCAGGGTTCCCTCTCTTACCGATCTTCCTCTGCCTCTGGCTTCAGGTTCTTCTGCGGAGCCCTGCTCCCTATCCAGCCATTAACAGCTAGAATGCCCACTGCCCGTCCACCCTTCATCTCCTGGTCCATACTGCATCCCTACCTCGCTAAGGCCTGGGGAAGGGGAGGCGAGGAGTAGCAGGTGGCCTGGTCCCAACAGTGTGCAGCAGCGACGTTCAGGGTAGAGTCTGTCCCGACAGCAAAAAATCGTTTTGGAGGGGTCACAGATCTACATACAAAACACAGGAATACACAGACTCTCAAGCTCACATATACATGTGCTTATGCATCACATATTACCACATCATCCTCATGCCCTGGTGTAGCCTGCACATCTGACATATGCAGGGGCGCTGCCATACTCATGCACTCATGCACACTCATTACACATGTGGTCATAACATTCAAACACACATACCTACATATTCACATATGCACATGTACATGGAGTCACCTCCACACACACTTTCACATTACAGTCTCTGGTACTGGTGCACACATACATTCATGAGCAAACATGCGTATACCCACATACAAACACACAAATGTATCTTCAACAATATAGCCTTTGCTTGATTATGAATGTTTCCATGAGCTTATGAGCACCTTCCTGAAAAAAATGGGTGGATGGATTCACATCCATATACCCAACCGCGTATTATGTAGGTGTCCCCAGGATCACACTCAGCATGCTTTAGATACCTTGGCAGTTCCCATTCATAGGTTCCAACAACCCAGGAAGTATGCCACCAGTCTTCTGGTGGGACTCACCTCTACCCCCACCTCAATGCTTACTCTCCACCTGTTCCCACACTTCCCTGGTTCCCAGACATGTAGGTCCTGGAACACAGAGCTGTGGGGGCCAAGTCTACAAAGCCCATCTCTACACCCTGATCTTGGCCATGTGTGGGCCTCAGTTTTGACTTTGAAGAAAATAGTACTGCCCTCCTACATTACAGGAATAAGGGGGAGATCAAGCACACTTGTGAAGAGAGTATGCTAGGGGTTGGTAGGTGATTTCTTCATTCAACTGAAACTAATTCATTTACTCATCAGGGAAAAAATATCTGTCCTGTGAGTGCAACAAAGTCCAAGGCACAGTCCCAGAAAGGATAAGTAGACATCACTGTGGCATTGAACATGAATGTGAATGAGCTACCACTTCCATGGCTGGGCATATGAGGCCAGGCAGCTAGCCCCTCTTCAGAAATCCCAGAGGATTCCTGCCTCCCAGACAAGGACTACCTCTAAGCCGACTCCTCCCATTGCTTTTATGGCCCTGCCTTTCCTCTCAGCTAAAGTCATGGAAGGCAGGATGGGGCAACATTAGTACTAACAGCAACGTCGAGCTGCTTACTGCCAAGGGTATTGACAGTGTGGCATTAATTTAAATACTTCTGTTATTAATTTATGACCCTGGTTACTATTATTGCCAAGGTTATCCATCTCAACACAATTTAATATGACCCACACTACCATGGCTGGGCCTGGGTTATTAATAATTTCCATGGTCTTGATCATTTAAGCCTTACTTGAACAATTACAAACAGCAGTTGTTACTATTATTAGCAGTATTTCTATGATTAAGCCAGAGCATAAGACCATGATTTGCTGAGTGCTGCCTGGGAGAGTGGCTATGAAGTGCATAGAGGAAAGAGCACTGAAATGAGAGTCATACAGGCCTGGCTGTAAATGCCAACCACCACCCCCAACACACACACACACACACACACACACACAACATCACTTACTCCTGTGTGATCTTAGACAGGTTATGTCATCTCTCTCAGCTTCAGTTTTCTCATTTATAAAATGGGAATTTGAAAAAAGGTCCTACTTTGAACAGGCACAGTAAGCAAATGAAGTAACACAAGAAGAGACTTAGTCTACTTTTAATCATTCAGCACATTTACTGAGCACCTACTATATGCCACACATGTAGGCACTGGGGTTGCAGCAGTGAACAATAGCAGCTGCCCTCATGGAGCATCTGATGTTCTGGTGTGTTAGTTGTTTAATATGAAGACTTATTTTATCATGTGACACCTGGGTGTGACCAAACCATAGAGAGCATAGCTGTGATCAGGACGCTCCTTTGATGGGACCACCATGATCACCACCACTGTCACCAGCACAGCCACCTATTCCAAACCAGCACTGCTGTGACCACTGTCACCATGACACCAGCATCACTGTCTGAACCACCACAGCTACCACTGCCACCATTCCCACTCCCACAGTCATCCCCACAACTACCACGGCTACCACTGCATTGTCACCACCATTACCATCATCACCATGAGTGCCACGACCAGGCCCAGGCCCATCCCACCACCTGCCTTCCTATATCTGCACCAGCAGCAGCAGGGGCTCTGGTTCCTGATGAGTGCTGGGTACTTGGGCGCCTCCTGCTTCCTTGGGACAATATAAGGAGCCTGATGGAGCCACTCCTGCCTCAGCTTGACTCCCAAATTGTTGTGACTCCTGGCCCCAAATAGAAGCATCTTTCAAACATGTCTTCCTGACCCAGGCCCCTTTTGCCTAAACCTCAGCGCTAGCAGCCTTAGGTGTGGGATGGGGCATTTGGAGAGGGCTCTCAGGAGCTGACCAGCAAGAGGGGTCAGGTAGGCAGTGCCAAGGAGGCAGCTGTTTTCATTGGTGGGTCCCCCAGAACCATCTTCCACAACAGAGCTGTGTGTATAGAGAGCCCCTTTCCCCTACTACACACACCCCATAGCTTCCTGGACCTGACGGTGACCCTGACTGGGAAGGGCAGAGAATATCAGTGCAATTCTAAGAGGTGCCGGGAGCGGTGGTGTGGGTCAGCCCCTCCCCACTTCATCTCACCAGCCCTCCTCCCCTGCCCCTCCAGTACACACTCCCCCTGTCCCGTCCCCACCCCTACCACCGTTCCTTTGGGACCTCTCATCTGGGACCCTCTGCAGAACATTGCTCACAATTCTTGTGCCCATCCCCTAAGTCACTGGGGAATCAGCCTGAAGCCTCAACCCACTTCTGAGCAGACAATGAGAACTCACATCCACTGAGACCAAGGGCCCAGGAGATGCACCTTAGCTCCTTATCCCCACTGCCATCCCATGAAGGAGGATCACCATCTTACAGATGAAGAGACTGAGTCTTGAAGAGGTTAACCCACTTGCCCAATGACCCTCTGAAGGAAGCAGTGGGACCATAAGTGGCCACTGTACCCCATAAGGTCCTCCACAGCCACACTTTTTGATGTTAACCCCATGTCCCATCCCAGGCAATGCTCCCTTCCAACCCAACCCCTCCAGCCTTTACCCCATGAGTTGTGGAGATAGAATCTACATGTCAGAGGGGCTGCCCTCTGCCCTTGGAGGCTACCACTCAGATGGCCCCTCCTGGCCCGCATTCACAGAGTCTGGGCTCGGGGGCCCCAGTAGGATGGGCAGAAACAAGCCAGGGGATGCTCTTTGCCTTTCGATCCAAGGCACAATGTCCAAGTGCTTAGTGAGTGCTCACTTTCCCTGCTCTGGAGGA